ATCTGTGTATGATGAGGTATTTGCAAAACTAGTGGAGGAGATAGAAATCGATCTTTTCACAGAAGGAAAAGCTCTATCAATGGCAAAAATCACAGCAAGATAACAAACAACAGCAACTACAAAAGTGACAAACTTAAAACGAGACTCTGTTCCTCTTTCGGCGACAAAATATCAGTGGAGAGGATTGCTGGCAAGGGGTCACCAAACATGTTACTCAGCAGTTCCATAACTCTGGCTGATGCAATCCACGCAGCGCACATACTTAAGGGGGAGCTACACTTGGCAAGGTTTGGTGGTGATGATGATGGTGATGGGGAGGCTTTCAATGAGGAAAATAAAATGTTAACGCTTAGAAATGCAGTCACGATTTCGAGACACAACATATTTTTTTTAGAAGTCAAAAAGAAGGACTCTTATCCAGCCTCCAGAGGAGTCTCTCAAGAGGCGTCCTAAATGGTTGTTCCTGACAGTTTGTTGCAGTTTGTACTATGGTTGATAGACAGAAAAGCTTTGAAAGCAGTTTTATACACGCCGTCAGATGACATACATCGAAAGGCAGATGCTCTTGCAGAGTGTTTAGTTTATGCCTCAACAAACACAACAACCCCTTTTCATTTGGGTCTAGCCATTCAAATGCACCATGAATTTGGATCTCGTAGCATAATAGATGCGCTGCACTCCTATGGATTCTGTGTAAGATACTCTGAATTGAGAATGTTCATGACAAGTTACGCTGAGTCAGAGTTACACAGAATCAGAGATGGCATCTATAAACCAAGTGGCATTGTCTCACCTGCAGATGGTGGATTGCTTATACAAGAGGGTGATGACAATGTGGATATTAACTGTGAAACGGTGGATGGGAAAAATACTTTCCATTCAATGGCAAGGGTTGTGTTTCAATGTACAGATAAGTCAAAGGCAGAAAGCACTGACGTATCGTGATGTAATGACAAATCTCTGAAGCTCAATGATGAAATAAACTCTACATTGCATGTACTTCCTTTCCTTTCTGTGCATACATTACTTTTCATGCCTCACCAACGTTTGTGAGCTCTGGATTGAGGGTGGTATGGCATCAAGAAGTACAGACAGACGAAGGTTGATCCCCGTTTATGATATATGCAGACAGGTCCAGCTCAGCTTTTGCAAAGCTCTGCCAGCAGTACATGCTCTTACTGGGTGTGACTCTACTTCAGCCTTCTACAGAATTGGGAAGAAGACTGTGTACAATGCTTTGAAGGCTAACCCTGACGTCTATTCAGAGATGCACCACCTGGGTGGGAATGAAATTACACCTGCTGCTAATGCTGCAAGACGCCTTACTGCACATTTGTATGACCCCAAAGAAAGCATGAAACCCATTCACCATGACCTCAACCTCATGAGAGCTAGGATGTGCATGAGAAAAAATACAGACCTCTCTTGCATTCCTCCTTGTGAGTCCAGCTTTGAACAGCACGTAAAACGTGCGATGTGGAAAACACAAATTTGGATGAAGTCACATGAAGCACTGCCTGACCTTGGAAGTCCTTTAGACTTTGGGTGGACAAGAACTGTGAACATGTCGCTTGTACCAAACTTCTTTTGAAGGGCAATCTGCATCAGAGCTGCTTGAGAGCCTTGTTTGCCACTGTGTACGTGGTATCTGTCACACCAGATGCACATGCAGACAAAATAATTTGACATGTGTTGAATTATGTTCTTATGGGGCTCAGGAGAAATGCACAAACATTGCTGATGGACTTGTGTGAACGCTGTGAACGCTGCGAACGCTGTGAACGCTGTGAAGGTATCTCGTTGAAACTGTTAAAATCTTTGTTTATACTGCGCGAAATTGTCTAACAATATAACATACCATAAAGTGTAGTAACTATAGCTACATGGATAAAGCCATGTTAGTAGTTAAGGAATTCGCACAGGCTTACACTGATACTTAAGTACAATATAAGTACAATACCTATTTGGATGACTTACTGTACAAGTTGTTCTTCAGAATCTATATTTGAAAAGATTCTGTGGCCATCAAGTCATAATGACTCGCTATGAAATAATTTACAAGCAATGAAGTATGTATTGCCGTCATTTCGGAATAGCATAGAAAATTGACCGAAATTTACCTACATTCAAATGCCTGATATAAAAAACTGTCCACATCGTTTTTATTACGACATGCATTTTTGTAGTCCATATGTTTCAAGATTTCATTTGATATATAATATGACTATACCTCTTCCTGGGGCAAAATGATCATCACTTTCTTGTCTCGTTTCCTGCTCTACAACGTCATCAGACGTTTGACGTCATCAGTCCGTAGGTGTGTTCTGGCACGTATTGATGCTCACGGTGGACATACCCGCTACTGACTTGACTTTGAGACGTGTGGTGTGACATTTCCCGTTGTTTCTGTGATCAGTGCTCTAACGAAATGTTCATTTTTCGACCCCACCCATCTTTAAAGGCTTGTCATATTGGTTGTACCGATTTTATTGAAATGAATTTTTTGTACAGATGTTGTGAAAGGATTTCTCAAAAGCATAACACCAATCCTAAACTTCTGCATTGTTTAGTTTTTCTTTTATGTCGTTGCAAACAGGTGGTATCGTTTCTTTTGGACACTAGTTTAGTATAATTAATACAAGAACACAATTATAGAGAATACACTTTATTATTTAGTATCATTCTCCCGGACGCTCCCTGGCATTGCCCGGACGCTTCCGGACGCTCCCGGACGCTCCCGGACGTTTCCGGACGCCCCCGGGCGTTATTTAGTATGACCGATATGGGTCCTACTATTTAACGTAGAAATACAAAACAGGTAAATTCCCACACTGCAACCATCTAGAAACACCAGAACATGTACTACTGTCCTACTACACTGCACGAACTACTATTATTTTTTTAATAATTAATACAAGAACACAATTATATAGAATACACTTTATTATTTAGTAACATTCTCCCGGACGTTCCCACCATGCAGATGCTCCCTGATGTTGCCTGGACGCCATAGTACCGGACGTTTTACACTCAGTGAACCATCTGCGGCCAGGCATGAACTTTTGAAAACGTCTGTCTTTCAGTATTACTTATGAAATAGTATACAGCATATGACACTATAAATGTACATAATTTTTGTTCCATAAGCAAATTTACATTGTATCCTTCAAAGACTAAGTTACGACCACCACGTCAGTTCGAATAAAAGGAAATCGTATTCACCAGAATAGGGGTGTATGTAATTTTTTTCTAGCTACATGTTATTTTTTATAATTAATACAAGAACACAATTATACAGAATACACTTTATTATTCAGTATCATGCTCCCGGACGTTTCCGGAGCCCTCTGGAGTAGTTGAGGGCCCCGATATGGCCTCAGACCACAGTTATCCCCCCTAAGTTTTACCATGAACCGGAAGGAAAATAGGAGAATATAGTACCCAGTTGAAATGGGCTGTTCAGCCTGTGGCAATTTTTTTGGAGTGACTTGTGATAGCTTAAATGAAAGATAAGACATTGTAGTTTGCTGTCAATTTTTTGTAAGCCCCAATCTGTGAAGGTATTGATTCCAGCTTCCCATGATTTGACCCCAAGTTGAGGGCCGCTGTGTGTGTTTCGGCTCGAAACTTCCGGTGAGCATTGTTGACAGTGGTTACTGCGAAAGCAAGGTGGTGGATGCTGGACGTAAGTTTGCGTTTTAAGTGACAAGTGGCAGGTTGGTCAGCATGCAACAGGAGAACAGCCTACGACTGATAATAATTATGGTGGGCTGTCATGTCACTGTAGATAGCAAAGAAGGAAATTAATTGTGGTCTGAGGCAATATGGTTGCCGGAAGTCAAGTGACCTGCTCATCCAAGATGGCGTCACTTCCGGTTCCGGGAGACGTGCGGAGTAGGGGAAGGCTCCTATGTGCCGTGTGCCGGGAGCCACAAGGAAGTGCCAGTAAGCGTGAACCCAGGGGAGAGTTAAGTTACATAGACTGGCGGCAAGCCTCCCTCGCCAGATCCTTTATTACGAGGCTGTAGAAATACGGGACGCCCCTCACTCACATCTGTCTCCAGAACTCTCACGCCGACTTCTTGAGATAATTAAAATATTTTTTCAATGTTCTGCACTTTTTAATATAAAAATGTATTTAGTGTTTGTCAGAAAAGTTTGTTACATAGTTTACTTAATCAATTCTGATTTATTTACGGTAGACGAATTTATATGACCATAGTGTTATTGCCAAACCCTTCAGTCAATTCTAATTGATCCAGACTGCACAATATCAGGGGAAATCATCATTACAGAAGAAGAAGAAGAAGAAGAAAATTATTTTATTATAGTGCCACCTGGTGTTTAAAAACAGTAAAAAACATTACACGTATACATACGTATGATTGCACTTAAAATCATTAAATTATCCATTATATAAATTGGCAAGAATAATACACGAACATAATCGAAAGTACACACACACGCACGCACGCACGCACGCACGCACGCACGCACCCACGCACGCACACACACACATAAATATTACACGCATTTCATTTTCAATCACACATGCAGTGTACCACATCCACTCAATATCACGTGCGCATACATCACATACAAACACTACCCACATACTCATCTATCATTCACAAAAACATACACATTATATACATCACTGCCCGGCACGATACATCTCTGTAGTGTTTTTGTACCGTTAACAAAGGCGAAAATATTGCATTAGTGTGTCGCATCATGTATGACGAACAATACACAATAAATTACTAAAAATACAACATCTGGCCGATTCAAATAACGGGGATTGCTGATTGTAACAACCTGTAAATACCTCCCATGGTAGGTGAGACGCCGTTTATGCTCCTGATTAGAATCGGTCGTCAGCAACCCATGCATGTCGTAAAAGGCGATTAACAGTATCGGGTTGTCAGGCTCGCTGACTTAGTTGATGTATGTCATCTTATTCCAATTGCGTAGATAGATGCTCATGATGTTAATCACTGGATTGTCTGGTGCAGGTTCGATTATTTACAGACGCCGTCATATAGCTAGAATACTGCTGAGTGCGGCGTTAAACAACAAACAAATCATCATTTATCACCATGCATTTGGTGAAGTCTACCGTAAGGACGAGCGCAGGATTCTCTGGAATGCTGAGAACACCGCAATCTATGTGTACAAAGCTTTGGAATTCCCTTTGCCGCCAACATTTGAGAGAATTACCCTATCGCATCAGCATTGCAATTGCACGTTCATCCAATGGGCTTTTGACGTTCAATGTGTATTGTGTAGTACAGTGGAATATCTGCTTCGGACTTCATTGCGTCAATGTTTTGACATCCAGGGGAAATGAACGTTTTACTTATTGTGGGGCCGAAAGTAAGTCTGATTGTTACAGAGGCCTGTGTTAGGAATATTATAGAAGTATTATTATGAATCATAGTATATTCGGCACCATTGATATCGCCTTGTATTACAAATGCTGATTAGTTAAAGTCCTGTCCCGACAGATTCCACTTTGCACGGTAATATTTGTAAATGTAATAGGTGTGAAGAAAATATGTCCATATTAGCGATAGGGTAGCTCAGTGTCTCAATCAACGCCGAAACTGTCGAGTTCGATTCCTTACATCGGGGTAATGTTTCGTTTGAAGCCCATTCCTGCAGCCCCCCGACGCCGTGATGTAGCCGTTGAAGCGTATAAAACCATACACATGCATTAAGTGCACACAAAGAACTCAAACTTTGGGGTACATGATAACAAAGAAATTTATTCATAACAGAATAATAAACACATATAATATATCCATTGTAATAAAAAAGGTGTGTTAGGTATACCTGCTTCAAATAGCTTCACCAGCAAATATTAACACACTCGGGATACTGTGACACTCAATCAACCGAGTCACCGAGTCCGACCACCCAGTCCACGTAAGTCGCCGCTTACGACAAGCACAGGTTACTTGAGGCAACGCCTACTTCTTTAGGACTCCCCATAGGGTCACATCAACATTTAAGGCCATTAATACATTTATATTTGTTATTCAACGCCGCACTCAGCAATATTCCAGCTAATGACCACGGGTCTGTAAATAATCGAGTCTACACCAGACAATCAAGTGATTGACATCGTGAGCATCGATCACGCAAATGGTATACGATGATATGCATCCCGTTAGTCGTCTTTTACTACAAGCATGGGTTGCTGAAGACCAGTACATGTACTAACCCTCGCGTTCTTGGGGTCGTGATTACATAATTAAGAGAGTATTAGATATAAACACAGAGCAAGTAGTACAAATGACACAATTATTCAAATGAACAGTTCACTCATTCACTTGCCCTAGCGACTGTCCATTACACATACGCAAGACACTGAACTGAACTTTATATACATTTGATGGCTAATGGTTGTGTTGTACAAACATATATCTACAAAATTGAAAATATGGAAAAGAGTAAACTAAGTGAAGAGCCTTTGACTTTAAGTGAAGTGATTCATGTATTAGGGGTGTTCTGTAAACGTCAGATCTGAGAATAAGTTTGTCGGCCTTTGACACAGTGCATGGGTTGCGTCTGTCTGGACTGCTTGAGTACTCAGATCAATGATGCGTGAGTAGATCTCTTGTCCCCAACAGTGATAACTCACCGGATGCCTTTTGTGTAAGTTCTATTCTATGAATGACATTGTTATAAACTTGTCACAGCTGCTGCTGCTTAATAAACCGTAAGGTGCAATATACACTGTATGTGCAACGATTAGACTTGATATGTATCCAGTTACCTGTTGCTAAATTAAGAGAATGTTTGTCTTCATCAACTTTATTCAATTCATTCAATTCATTTCCTCAATATGTCGGCGTCTTTCGGCGGTTCACAAACTCTTCCAGTGCAGCTTATCTCACTTATGATACTGTCAATTTCAGAAAACGCTTTTTCTTGAAGATTTAATTTTCCTTTCTCAATAATGACAAGCCTTGCAAGGCTAGGCGATTCTTATTCACCAACCGACAGCGAATGATATCTTCTCCTCAACGTCATCTTCGAAATATTCTTCTCTTTACCCATTCCCACTTTATGACAAATAGAGAATACTAAACGAGCTCCTTTGTAATACTTATTGTATGAAACGAGTGAATAGTTCTGGTATCTCACGATCGAAAGGGAGTCCGATATAAGAAACTATTGACGAGTTTCATAAAAATGTTATTAAACAGGAGCGAGCTTAGTAATTTATTTATTACTTGCCGTTTATAACTTTTCTAAATATGTTACTGACCCACTTTTACAAATATGGAAATGTCATAGAACAAACCAGATGATGTCATACTTGGGTTTTGACTATTTGTTAGGATAGGGATAGGTGACGTCATGTTCAATAGTGACGTCATCTGGTTTGTTCTATGGCGTTTCCATATTTGTAAAAGCGGGTCAGTGACATTCGTGTTGATTGCAGTAAATGTTTCAAAACCGATATCGTTGATTCTTTTTATTTGATAACAAATTCCATCCTTTTTAGCTATTATAACGGTAACGCTATTTTCAGGGCATTATCATTTGCAGAAACCCTCGGTCTTAATGGAAGACCTCTGGCTTCTCAGGATGCTGCATCAAAAAGATTACAACACGTCACAATACCCTCTGACGTAATATGTAGAATATTGTTACAAGATCCAACCACGAAACAATGTCATGTGACGTCAGCATAGCATCAGGGTTGAGAGGGTCATTGCGTGTGCATACCCTCTCAGTGATCTATCGTCACTACACGCAATGTCGTTGAATAAGCCCAAGGATGTTGGGAGTTTTCAATATTTGTTACTGAAACTTGTTCCCGCAGTATATAAGCACGCGCTTTGGTATAATACAACGTGTTATACAGCTGTATGTTTATTAAACGGGTGATCTCTTTACGGGCGAATAAAAAAACTATATATTCCCTTGGCATATTTTGTCTTCAGTTTAAAATTGTAACTGCAGATATTTCTAAAAAGCAATTCTGACCTTTTGAACAAGTGGCGCCCGGCGTCTCCTTTTGGACTTGAAATGTTGCCATCCCTCTATAACTTGGCTTGATAAAGCTGCGTTTCTCTGCTTACCCCGAAACAAATAACATATTCTAAAATAGCAAGTGATATATTCAAGGACGAATATTGTTTTGGTATTTGCACACATTATCACAATTTGTAACAAAGTTGATTAATCTATTAATGAATGACATGGCATCTTGTAAACATATCTACATATCATTTTGTACATATCATATGTATATATCACGGTATGTTGAATATCCTGTCACTTACCCCCCACCTTTGACACAGCACATACAAGAAGACGTTTATTATCTGCAAAGAAACATAATATTATTAACGTTATTGTTCCACTTTATCACCGTTTAATAAATGTACTTCATGTGTATACAGTGGTGTACACATACCTGATCATATAGCCAGCCCACAGCCCATCTGGTCTCTTTGTCAATTTTCACTCTCATCTGGTCTTCTGTTTCTTTCGGAAGTATTGGTGCTATTGTCAGAATATCCAATTTTGATATTCGGTAGGGACCTATCGTCACTACTATTTCGTCCAATCTTCTGTCATCATTACAGATATCTTGAAACTGAAAAACATACAACAAATTATATCTATATATAAAAGATATCATTGTATCCGCCAAGTTTATATTTCCTTTATATATTGTAAGTGTACTTAGTTATAGGTTACAAGTAACAGTTACAGTTAAACCGCCCTGTAATAACAAACATTATTACATGACTCTCTACCTTAAGGCAGTTCGCCCTGTATCGTAAGCATATTTGTAAAGACGAAAATATCAATATGTTTCATCACACTCACCACATCCTCCGCCGGCAATGGTGATGAATCTGCTTGCGCGGTGGAACATTCCACTTGTCCTAAAATAACAATGACGGATTGTTTCGGCAACAGCTTGCTAAAATGACATATACGTCATGTATTACTTTTTTTATTACTTGTACTTATATACATTGCAAGTGATTCCATGGCATTTCATTGACTAACCAAGGAATTTTAGGCGGAAACAATTACCGAAAAATATTTAGGTCACTAACGAACAACTGTGTTATGATTGGCTTATGAAGTGTGTGCGCTGTTTTAGCTCGAAATGTTGGCTACAGTTGTGTGTTTAATGAACAGACTGTGAAGTTACTATCGTTGACGTACTTATTTATGCTTATGTACACAGTGTGCAAACCGGTTTTTATCTTTATACCAACATAAAAGCAAAAGATATATATTGAAGTTAATTCTTAAATGTAACACGTCAACGACAGCGATTAACCAGTCTCGATAATCTGACGAAACAGATTCCACTGGGCGTAAAAGGCTCAATAGTGGTGATAGTTAAAGGAAATATTCCGCGTTGTATGCGGTTGTGAAAAAAAATATACTTTGTATTTTTAATTAGAATAAGTCGCCAGCGCTTGTCTTAAGAGACGACTAAAATGTATCGGATGATAACACTTATTATGCCAACCACTGGCCCAGGTTCTTGAATTAGAAGAATTGATATAGAAGAACTGTTGGTGAAAGCAAATGTGTGGCAAAAGTGGGTACTTATTTCATATTTGATCTTTTAGTTACTTATATATGAAACCCGTATGAATGAAAATATTGAATATAGAATACTTACCAGCACGTTGGAAATCCAGACTTTGATAATGTGCTTCATGATAGTGACCTAACATCATAGCCGCTCCTGGTCCACCAGATATCATTACAACATTGCTGTCGGACGCGGTTCCATCTTCGGAACTTGTGAAAACGGCAATGTCCTTTTTGAGAAACTGCGATGTTCTCTGTACTACAAGGTGATCAACGTATTCACCCGGTGTAGACATGGCCTCCAAGTAAAGGTTCCAGGTTTTGTGCCGTTGCACATCGACAAAATTGGATAGGTGTGTGCCTCCTTCCTATAGAAAACAAGTATATATAATTGACGTTACACAAGCAGGTTTGGTAGCATTTTAATTAGTAATTCATCATATATCAATTTTAGGCACACTTAGGGTGTGGGTGTAGTATTGTGGCTGAAACGTTTGCTTGTCACGCCGCAAGCCATTGTTACATTTCCCAGATGAGTACCATCTATGGATCTAATTTCTGAGGTCATCAACGGTTCCATTGACCGGCTAAAACCACAATCACTCTCTGAAATTAAACACCTACATGCGCCTTAAACTCTAATCATAGCGAGGTGAGGTTGAATGGGGCGAGGAACAAGGAGCTGTCATCTATTCGCTGTGCAGAGTTACGTCCATTAACCATGTTAGAAAATACCGACCATGTACACAGCTATAGAACTGACATTATCCTCCACTTTAGTCGGCATGTTTTATGCCAGTCTTGGAACTGCCTTGTCCAGCGAAATTTCGTACCTCCACCTGAACCCCACTGAATACCTGTGTTATGAATTTGAATGATGTGCGCAGACATCCTGTATCATCTGTATTCACTTATCGAGTGTATCTGCACGCGAAGGGCAACCCAAGTACCCTCACCAGACCAATAACACGTCACAATGGTTATCTGCATGAATTCTCCATGTGATTCCTTGACAATGCTGTTTTCCATTATGTTGTTATCTGATTATGTATTATCCTTTCGAAATGTGTTCCTAGACACAGATTAATTTGAAGCCAATACTAGCCTATTATACTGTACTCGCCTAAGCATATATCAGTGGCATGCGTCTTCCATGACAGCTCGCCCTTATATAGAAGGGTTCTGTATGAGCTTACATATGCACAAATATATGGTCCGGTGTGCACTTACATAAGGATACCTCCGTAGGCTGCCAACTACTGCCATCCTTAGTCCCCTGTGGTCAAACACTGATCTGGCATCGAGGCGTTGAAGCTGATCTACAACTGCGTGGAAAAAACAGTTGCCATCTCCGGCAGTTCTCCCTCTAAAACGCAGCCCGTGTTCGGTTACCGAGGCCAGAAGTCGTTCTGATGTCCCTTGGCAAAACGTTGTCACGTTTGATGGACTAGCCTTCTGCAGTGCTTCTTGCAGTTGTTTCAAGGTAACTTTGTGATCTGTATCATACAAAAGTACAATAAAAAGTAGGCAATATGTGTGTGTGTGTGTATATATATATATATATATATATGTGCGTGTGTGTGTGTGTGTGTGTGTGTGTGTGTGTGTGTGTGTGTGTGTGCGCGCGCGCACATGTGTCAATCTAGGCACGGATCGAGTCTATAGTCTGTGTGTGCATATCTTTAAATATTATGTTCACTAGGATGAGTCGTAACGAGGATATTCCATCACTGCCATACAGTCAAACACTTGTATGCAGAAACCCTAAGTTCAAGATGAAAATGCCCAAATGATCAATACTGACACTTCTCAATTCTTCGTTATAGAGAATTCCCAGGAGTTTCCCATGGGGATGTGGAAGAAGTCCGCCATTGTTTACGACAATTTCTGAAATACAGTATCATGAAGACATGCATCTAAATTTCAATGTGTGTTGTTCATACGCTTATAAACGTCAGTTTCGTGGTCATGTGACCGGCCTCTTGACATGACATGTGACTTCATGACATGTGAACTTCACATTAAAACATTATATTAATGTGCTAAAAATACATGCAGGTCAACAGATTCATCAGTGAAATGACTAATATTTGATGCCGCTGTTAGCACTATTCTAGCAATATCCCATACAGGGACATAAGACATTTGCTTCATGCATTTCCCACGTGTGAAATCGGACATTGACCATCGGGAAGAACACCGACCTCTAGGGTACCACACTGCCCAACAGATACATAAATGTTACTTACATTTGAGCGATATTTTCTTGTGCTTCTGTGCGTCTTCAGTCCTCGTCCAAAGGTCTGTTTTCCCTGTAAATATGAAAGGTCAACACCAGAACGATTATCTCGATTATCCGACGAAGCAGATTCCATTGGTTGTAAAAGGAACAATAGCCTTGAAAATTATATGAATGGATCACTGAAAAACAACAGATAAAGTTTAACATGCCATTGTAAAAGTTCAAATAAAATACAACAAGAGCCTTTATTATTTCTTGTCATCTAACTTATAATTAGACAAGGCACGTAATGGATGCTAAATCATGCTGCATGTTTAGGTACATGTATATCAACATGTTAGAAATAAATTGTATCAATTTACCTTCTTTTTCTGCTGCATTGTCCAAATCTGGAAGGTAAAATGTCACTTTGGAAATGAAATACGACGCTTGTGCGTGCTGATTGGCGTATATCGTCAAAATAATGTCAACCTATTATATTGTATTCAATTTCTTCATATGGACGGTGGAGTACCCTAGTGGTTAAAACGCTTGCTGGTCACGCTGAAGACCCGGGTTCGATTCCCACATGTGAAGCCTATTTCTGGTGTCCCTCGCCGCAATATTGCTGGAATATTGATGAAAGCGGCGTAAAACCATACTCACTCACTCACTTCCCAATAAACGTCATACATGATCATGTCATAGAATGCCACTTATAAGTTCTTACCTGAAAGATGCAGGCGGCCAAACTTGTCATGACGTATTTCACCATACGAAATGTCTGTGTACAGTTTTCCTTTGATTGCTTCTGTCATTTTCCTGTTTGTATGTTCATTGTGAAAATGTAGAAGCAATCGCAGGACAAACATGTAGTTTCCCGGCGACATCGCATCTAGAAAGTAGTTGTTCCGGTTCATTTCCCTGTGCAGCTGCTCTTCAACTTGTGAATTTATTGAGCCCTTCATTTCGGGAACAAACGTTATACGCCTTAGGAGTTCCTCATCTGATTTTGTATTCCCTTCATGAAACCTATCCAGCAAACAGAACGTTTCATTTGAGGTTGGCAAATCATAGTCGGAGACTGGTGCTACTGTCACCCATTCCTTCATGCAAGGTATACTCTTTGAAAATACCCCCTCCTTAGCTTTTTTTATGTTGTCTGCAGTCGCTTCACCCAAGCGTCCTTCGTTGGGCGAGAACATGTTCTTCCGCCGCTTGTTACCATGGCGTGACATCATTGGGGCTACGTCACTAATGATGACTGGCGGTTGTCTTGACATAGATAGAATGATGTCGACATGGTCTCTGACACTTTCAGGCCTCAGAATAGCTTTGAATGCGTACACTATTCTATGGGGGCAGGACGCTGATACCCATCCACCTGAATGAACATTAACATAGTGATGGGACACATTTGGTTTAACCTTGCTTTTAATAGTATACTATATACTCCAGTAGTCAGATTGTGGAGTTTCAAGTTACAAAATGACATTCCATTAACAGACTCAGTGCTGATTCTTATGCAGAGGGGGCTGGGGATGGCCTATCTTGAAGACATTTAACGAAAATAATATTACCAAGCAAAAGCAATTGTGTTACAAAGTAAGTAGTTATTTTGCATCATTTAGTCTGGCACTTGAATGTGGGAACACACACTATATATGTTTTATTCATCATTTTAAATGCAATAGTAGGCATAATTACCAGAATGGCCCCATATGCTTGAAAATAACTTGTTGAAGGTTGATTTGCTTTTCAACTTTTCCTTCAAGCTGTTGATCATCTCTAATTTGGTCCCTTTGGCGTCTACTTCCATCTTTGTACACCAGTGCCGTACATCCAGCACCTACATGATATGATATAGAAAATGTCGAAAACATGAGTGACTATGCTTATCATATCATATCATATCATATCTCAATTTGTAATATTACTACCTACGCATATCAAGATTGCAAGAATTATACAAATGTGCCTAGTTGATATCAATAAGGCCTTTCGATTATGTCATATTTACCTTCTTTTCACATAACATTTGGATCAGGAAATCTTCAGTCAGTTCCTTATCCCCTGTATCAAAATCTGTATCTCGAAGATGGGTTCTGAGAGATCGAACTTTTTCAGCTTCAGTGTTGAAAGCATTTTCATCTTTTCTGGCTAATCCAATGAAAGGAGCCCAGTTGTCATAACTAGGTGTAACACGCCCGACGTTGGCTGCTTCTGTCAGGGAATGAAATGATAAATACATTATAGTGTATATAAACAATATCCTTACAGTAACTTTAATTTTAGTTCCCCCCCCCCCCCTCTCTCTCTCTCTCTCTCTCTCTCTCTCTCTCTCACTCACTCACTCTCTCTCTCTCTCTCTCTCTCTCTCTCTCTCTCTCTCTCTCTCTCTCTCACACACACACACACACACACAGACAAGATGAGTCATTTATAATACAATATGAGGATTTGCACCTTTTCCAAAACCCCGAAGTAAAATAGACGCCTCCACCGTTTGGCTCCAAAACACATCCATGTTGATTCCATCTGTAGCTGTTTCTGTCCCTGGTACTTGTGACACTGTAAGCAATACATGTTTACCATAAGAGACGAGAGAACAGGGATAAGGAAACATCATTATGGGATATTGTTTGTGACCAACCATGAGATAATGGACCTTACATTTTTGCTTTCCATTTTTACATTTTGAAACTACATCGTTAATGCGCTTATACATTTCTTAGACACTGGAAATTATAAATTAGACTTACATGCTAATGGAAATGCACATTTCCTATTTGCATCTGTCACCAGGCAACATGGAAAACGGCCACAGATGTCACAGGTAAAGTTGTACTTGTGATCGCACATTGCCTCAAAGTGCAGATATCCCTGTAACATTTTGTCTCCGGGAAAATGTAAGCCGGAATCTTCTGATAAGATATCGGCAGCCCTTCCAACGGCTGTATGATTCTGAAACCATTAAGCAGGCGAAATTGATCACATTCATTATGCCGATATTTTAAACTAATCCTAAGTTAACAGTCAAAAGTGTTTAAAGTCCGAATGTCACCGGCCCACATCAAGTGCATATATCAACAAACAATGCGCCATACAACAATCAGATATCACGATCACATAAATATGCAAAGTGTTGTTTTGGAGAAGGGAGTCGTCCATAAACTAACTAAATTAGGTATAATGTACCTTCAAGTTAACTCTGAACCAGTGGCACAGGCGAACTGACAGGAACACGTGGTCGTCAAAATTGTGTATACCATCCCTGTGCTCTTGGTACCTGTAGAAGTGACCGCACGCTTTGCACTTCTTTATGATAACTGATTGCAAATGGTGGCACTGATAAATACCTACATTGCCCCTTGCTGCAACACCCAAAGCTAAATTGCAATTTTCATGTTCACATTGTATCTGCTGTGTGACAGTGTTCATTTGTACATGAAGTGGGTAATCTGGACCGATACTGGACTTGCTGATCATGTAGAGACCGCGGTGTTTATCAACGCATATTCCACGTTGGTATGACTTGGTTTTCACTTCATCTCGTGCATTGTGTGTCTCAATATGTCTTTTAATGTTTTTCTTAGAGATCATTGCATTGCAGACAAAACATGTCACTTTCGGAACTTGCTCTCTCTTCACTTTTTGGATTTTAGGGGACTCTGCTGAAGTTCTTTCCTCAGAAGCTGTCTGGTTTGTTGTCAGAACAAAAGGGCAAACCGTGGTCGTGAGTCGGACAAATGTGAACTTTCTCCGGAAGAGTTTACCACACGGGCAGTGGTAATGGCACCGGTCTTGTTTCGGAGTACAATCCAAAAAGCAGCTTAACACCCATAAATCTGCAAGGACACAAATACGGATTATTATACCGGACCGCCTCCGTGGTCTAGTGGTAGAACGTCCGCCCGGTGAGCGGAAGGTCCGGGGTTCGATCCCCGGCCGCGTCATACCAAAAGATGGTACTTGTTGTTAACATGTCTGGCGCTCGGCATTAAGGTGCTTAAACAAGGACTGGTCGGCTCGGAGTCAGTATGCTGTCTCTGTGTGGGGTATTCATGTTAAACTGTGGCATGGTATATCAGTGAGCTAGCACTATAAAACGGCATCAGTCCGGACCAGTACAAGCAGCCACTCACACAAACACGAGCATGCACGTCGCTAAATAGTGCAATAATCTTCGAGGCGACGTTAAACCCCATTTTACCTCACCTCACCTCACTATTATACCAGATAAAATGGTGCGTTGGGCTTGTGAGGTTGTGTAATGGACACCGTTTTACACGTATGCGTAATGCCACGTATACGCTAGGTACATACCACGCAATATTAGATTAATAACAAACACCAATTTATACATACCCCCAACTTACACGGCATGTTGTGTGTGCTTGTTGATGTGTCCTTCCTTGACATTGTACCGTCGTGACGTTGATTCTGGACACAGTTCGCACTGGAGTATTCCATCAACTTTAGCCAGTAAACTCTTACAATGTACATGTGCCGAGCTCTTTTGTGTGCCATATGTCTTCATTCTGTAGACAAAGGTAGAAAGTGTAAAATCAACAAGTTTTCAAAAGAAGTCCTATTTTTCTATTGCTTGAGACTCCCGGACACTGAGTGGTGTAAAGCCACTTACATTTATGAGTACTAAATGAAACATAACGCGTCGATATCCATTATCTTCGCCGTGCATTTATGAAAATCTGTAACCAACTGAAGGTAGGGTGCTACAATGTCTAGGTTACATGGCCACTGTAGATAATAATACTCACGTTTGTTTCACAACGTCCATGCCTGGAAGAAATAAAATAATGACAATATATAAACATTTGAAGAAATGTGTACAACCATTAGAATCCTTAAATTTATGTTAACACTGTTACCAGTTTTTAGCACAAGGTGTAGGCAGTTTAAACTAGAACCAATGTCTTTATAACTAGGAATATATGCTCTTGGTTTATGTATATCACAATTCCATTAACGAGTTTCAGCCATCTCTTTCTATAACCTTATATAGTACGAACAATATAGTTAACATATACCATTACTTTCTTATTTGTGTGTTAGTGAGTGAATGAGTGCGTGCGTTCGTGTGTTCGTGTGTTCGTGTGTGTGTCTATGCAAACGTCTCAATTGAAATAGCCTGAAAACTTAGTGGCACATCTGTGAAGCTCACATGTTTCGCATAGAAAAGGTTTAATATACGGGTTTGAAATATTATAAATATTATTATCTCTTTCCTTTACCATTTAGGCATAAAATAACTTTAAAACAGTCGCTCTATACCCCCTTTTAGAAACTATATTGCTTCCCTTTACTACATGGGGTTGTCTATGCAAACGTTCTTATGGACATAGCCTGAAAACTAAGTGGCACATCTGGGAGCCTCGCATTTTTCGCATCGAAGTAGTTTAAAATACGTATTTGAAATACTATTTTCTCCTTCCTTAACTGTTTAGGCATAAATAACGTAAATGTATTCGCTCTACACCCCGTTTGGAACGCTAAAATACGGGTTTAAAATAGTATTAGTTCTTTTCACATTCATTTAGGCATCAAATAACTTAAAAAGAGTTGTTTAAAAACGCACTTTGGGAAGATATATGGCTTCGCTTTGACACGATCATCGATCCCGATTGCGTGAAGAGATGCGCATCATATTAAATACTGGATTGTCTGGTCCAGACTCGATTATTTACAGACCGCCGTCAAATAGCTCGAATATTGCTGAGTGCAGCGTTAAACAACCAAACAACCAACCAACCCAACCAACACGAGGGGCTGTCTATGCAAACGTCCCTTTGGAAATGCCCTGAAAACGTAGTGGCACATCTGGGAGCCTCGCATTTCTTGCATGCAAATAGTTTACAATACGTGTTTGAAATACAATGTTCACCTTCCTTAACTAGTTAGGCATAAAAAAACGTAAACGGAATCGTTCTGTGTCCCGTTTGGAAAACTATATTTGAAATACTATTTTCTCCTTCCTTAACTATTTAGGTATAAACAAACGTAAAAGGAGTCTCTCAATACCCCCTTTGGAACACTATATGGCTTTCCTTTAACACGGGGGAGATTATCTACACAACATCCCTTTGGAAATAGCCTGAAAACTTAGTGGCAAATCCAGGAGCATGGAAATAGTTTCAAATGCGGGTATGCAGCATTATTATCTCCTTCCTTCCATAAGAATGTTTAATGACATAACATAACATAACATAACATAACATAACATAACATAACATAACATAACATAACATAACATAACATGAGAAAAAGTAATATTCAAATGAATGTATTTTACATAAAAAGAACAATAGATACTCATTTCCACTGCGCATATGATAAAGACTAAACCTAAACGCCCTTCACCCTACCGTCATTCAATACGTATTGTCCCCGACATGAAAGATACGTGGAGTGCTCTTCTTTATGAAATTTTAATATTTTACGTTTCACATGCGAGCACATACTAATCGAAAACCATTTGAAACCCATTAAACAAAACTCTGGACATATTATACCCGCAAACATGGAGAAAAGAAACGCCTCTATTTTAATAAATTACTAAAAACTAACACGTGACAATGTACATGTTTCCCAAAGTGGCATTTTGAAAGCAAATCCTGCTTCCTTTCAACGTTGCACGAAAACTTAAAAAAATAGTACGTACCTTGCAAGAAATATTTTTTTGGACATGATCCAGTCTTGAAAGTTACATAGCCCTGTTTGTGAGTTCTCAGCGCTCTGTAAATATCTGAGTCTTATTGAGAGTCTGTTGTGAGATGCCCTGGGTGTGTTAAAGGCTGACCACGGCCTAAGTTTCAAAAATCTGTAGCTAGCTGGTGTTAGCACTTTTATCATGAGGCAGGATGTTCCTTGTTTATATGTATCAGTTAGCCCTGTCAACTTCATGAACCTCATTCTTACAGAATGTCAACCGCATGCCCCATTCTGGGTTTCAGGTAGTATGTGCTTATCTTTTAGGATCTCACAGAAGCACTAAATGTGTTATCCAGTTATTGCTGTGACATCTCTAACTCCCTAGAAACTCCTCTGGGATCTGGAACTTGCCACAGAATGTATCACGTCACAATAAACAAACAAGTCCCCTAACAGACCCTAAAAGGAAAGAGTCTAGAGAGTCTAGACTTCTTGTTTCCAAAAATGAAGATATTCATTCTGGATTAAGAAAGGGCTACCGAACATCAAGTAATGTATTTGTTCATAAAATATTTACTTAATAGTTTTAACAAAAAGTAAAAAGAAAAATGTATACACTTCCTTTGTAGACTTTCAAAAGGCCTCTGATTCAGTTGACAGAGCACGACCCCTAACAAAGCTATTTCACATAACATGTCAGGAAATAGTTCTTATAAAGTGAAAATTGACGGGGCATTTCACAATCCTTTAAATCCAACATCGGCATAAGACATGGGTGCATTTTGTCTCCCAGATTATTTAATATATTCCACAATGATCGTCCACCACATATCAAACAAGAAAATAACAAAATAACACTTAATGCTTTAAACATTTGTCATTTGTTGTTTGCCGATGACTTTGTACTTTTTGCCACTTCCAAAAATTCTGCACGAGTTATTTGATGGTCTAAGAGTATTTCGTGTAACAAATAACCTAAAGATTAAAGGTGAAAAAACAAATGTTGCAGTGTTTGGCAAATCAAGTAAAATAGAAGAAACGAATACTTGGACCTTGGTTGGTGCAAAAATTCTAGTTATGGATAGATATAATTATTTATGAATAACATTTGAAGCAAATGATAAACTTAATAATAGCGCCAAACCTCCCTTGAAATAGGGTCTAGGTACTACCATAAGCTTCAGTCTACCAATAATCTACCCAAATCTGGGGTATAGACGCAACACCCCTAGTCTGAACAACTTTGATTAATTAATCCCCGAGAAACTGCGGCGCCGATGTTGTATATCCATGTTAGGTGTCAACAAAACAACACACAATTGGGCAAGGCGAGCAGAACTAGGATTCTATACTCTTATGTACACAGTACTAATATAAATTACGAATTGCTATCACTATGGTGGTTCTTCAACATAGTGAAATTCTGCTTTACCCACTAGGCTACCCGACCGCCCCGTTCCATGTGATAGGAAAGCCCGAAGTGATGCAGGTGTCAGACGTTAACCACTTCGGTGAAACCCACGAGCACGGTTGTCGTACTGACCAAATCTAGAAACATAATCGGGGCGAACCGGGATTCGAACCCACGATCATAGATTTCTGGCGTGCCCAAGGGACGCGCTTTTCTGCACAGCGAATTGCTGCGCCTCAGACGACTCGGCCAACCGTGCCCCAAAAGGTGCAAGAAAAAACTGAGGACATTCAGGACAGTTAAAAATGAAATAAGATTAGAATCATATTTCAGTCACTGTAAAATAAGAAAATATCGAGTGCACTTTTCTAAACTAGGAGTAAGTAACCATAAATTAACTATAGAACTTGGAAGACATACAAAGCCACCCACCCCACTACATCAGAAACTATGCTCTACATGTTCAACCATTAATGAGGAAAGACACTACCTACTTTATTGTATCAAACACACGAAAGAAATAAATATACTCTTTGGAAAAGTATCCACACAAAATGTAAATGTCCACAATAATGAAAACATATTATTTCACCACATCCTCTCAAATATTTAGCCATCAACATCAATTGCATATGTTTCAAATGGATGGTGTCGAGCAATAGATTCCCGTGGATCAACCTATGACATTTTATGTATAATATCATCAAATCTGTACTGTTGATATTTTCTATGCATTAAATTATTTCTTTGTGTTTTCAGGTATGTATGTCTGTCTGTATATGTGTATGTATGAATTATGATGTGTTTTTTTCGGGAATGGATTATTTTCTGCAATAAATATCCTTTCCAGATACAAATAAATCAGACATAATCCTATTGTACCTATGCTGTCATACAGATCATGAAACAAATATATCCATTACAGTCCCTTCCAAGCCTATGATATTTGGCAAGTCAAGATTACTGCAGTATCAGGGTCTGTACAAATCTGCTGAAATCACAGGCCTTGTAATCATCAGTTAATCTCCAGCTGGCATTAGTGACACCACACCAAGACCTCCTGCTCCTGCTCTTCCCCTGCCACTCGAGCTCTGGCCAGACATGTGTGATGACATTGGAGACCTGGTGACATATACAACCTTACCAAGCTCCGACTGAGTCTTCACAGCCTGGAAATTGAGAGGGGGAGATACTCCAACACCCCAGTTGAAAATAGGTTCTGTCCGCACTGTGACTGCCATTCCGTAGAGGATGAAGAACACTTTCTGCTTTCATGCCCACTATATACAGACCTTAGGAGAAATCTGATGGCACTGGTAGAAATAGGCGACCCTTCCCAGACCGATAAAACAAACCTCTTAAAACACTTTATGAATCCACCAAAAGAATGGTCAAGTCTTGTTGCCCGGACTATATACCACATGTACAAGCTGAGGCCATAAGAAAATTCTATTATATTCGATCCAATTAAGTGAAATAACCAGCAATAACCTAATATACATAAATGTTTATATGATGTAAATGAAATAATGCCTCTATACAAAATGTACATCATATATACATATACCTGTCATATCTATAATTATATACATGTTCATATGTACATAGTCTGTACCCTGCCCTATGAGGGTGTTCAGTACAATAAATTCTATTCTATTCTATACAACCTTTGTATTTTTTTTAGTTGTTTAATTGGTTGGCATTTCTGGTTAAAAATTAA